ATATTTATTTTAAATAACATTTCGGAGAAACATTTTTTTCTCTAATAATTTTTAGCTCAAATCAAAATCTTTTGGTTCAGGAAAAAAATCGAAATTCTGTCCGTAAATCAGGGAAGAGTCAGAGAAAATCAAATTTTTGCGGCAACCCTGTTTTTTTAATGCAATTTCTTTCCATCCTATAATTTCTTTCCCCTACACAAAGTTTTTTTACTTCATAAATTTTTTTTCGGTTTTATTCTTTTTTTTCAGAAGTTTTTCATTTTATGAAGTCTTTTACTTTTTTATGGATTTTTTCTTCCTATGAAGTCTTTTTCCCTTTTATAGGTTTTTTTTCTCATCTTATAAAATCTTATTCATCTTATAAATTTCATTTCCTTTTATATTGAAATATATTTATTTCCGTTAAAAAAAAAAAAATTGTTGCTTGTTACGAAATTGTATTTTTTTTTCTTTGCGATGAAGAAAATGACACGCGAGTCTATCAAAGAAATGATAAATTTACTTTCCAGAGTAAAATAAATTCATAATTTACATTCGACCTATATTTATGAATTTTCGAAGGGATGTGATTTATATAATTTTATGTTAATTCAATTCGTACATGAAAAATGCTTTCTCATGTTTTTGGAATGTTTTCCAAGAGTTTTTAAATTTTTTATTTTTCTGATAAATGAAGAGAAGGAAAAAGAATAAAAAAATGTAGATAAAAGTATATTTTACTTGTCGTAAAATTTAAAAGATTTTGTGTAATTGTCCATAAATATTGTATATTTGTCTATATAAAAGTTGAAATATTCTTTTGTTCCATATTGTCGGGAATTATAAACTATAAAATTATCGAGAAAATAATATTCGCTTTTGTATTGATTTGCACTTGCGTTAAGCTAAGAAGCTTTACAAAAGACATGTTTTTTTCTCTTTTTTTTTTTGAAAGCTGTAGAATAAAATGTAGGGTAAAATTATTCTTGACCAAGTGAATTCATCGTCATAATAACAAAGTTTTCTTTTCTTAAACAAAAGGAAATTTCTTCTTGTGTAATATATATATATAATAGTTTTATTGATTTTAGTTTCTTTGTGTAAACATAAAGGGATTGCTGAGTTAACGATAATTAACTAATTAAGTGGAGTAGTGTAAGATTTTTGGCCTGAATCCAGCCTCAAGTTTCAGTTGCTTTTTCAGCAAATTTTATACTGTGAGATTTTCTTCCTATACAGTAACTGATATTGAGTATATATAGCTGTGTGCCTTTGATGGGAAAACACTTTAGAACATCCGAGTTTAATTATAGTTCCGAGAGCTTCGACTTTTCTTCCCTCTTTCTCTCTCTCTCTCTCTTTTTTTTCCACTTGGGGCTTTTGCAATTTTATCTAAATATATATAAGCCAGGTGCTTTTTGTTTCAGGAAACCGTGGAAATAGTTGATTGGATTTTTTTCGAAAAGAGGAAATAAAGCTTTACCTGAAATTTGCGGCTTTCGCATCGATTACTTCTATTTCTCAATATTTTTTTATGCTAGTTATCTTCCTTGGATTTTGAAATTTTTCTTTTGAAGATCGTTGCTTTTGGGGGAGTTTTAAATTTATCTCGAACTATTTTTTTTTAATTTTCTTGATAAGAAACTTTTTTTTATCTGGATGGTAATTTTTTCATGATCTGCAAATTTAGAACGTGTTCAAATGAACGAAATATTTTTTATGGAGAATATTTTTTTAATAAATCATTAAATGATTAGTTAATTAATTAATTAGTTAATTATTTAATTAGTAAAATAAATTGAAAAATAATTATAAATATTTAATATATAAATAATTGAATTATTACTGATTGTAATAAAAGATAAAAACGAAAATTTTACATTCAACAAACTTTTCAATTAATTTTTTTGATACGGGACGCAAAATTATTATAATTATTGTAATAAAAAAAATTAATTTGAAAATCGCTGTTTTTAGTGAATTTAAAATTTATCTCGAACTGTTTTCTTTTTTAATTTGTTTTGCAAAAACATTTTTTTTTATCTGGATAGTAATTTTTTAATGATCTACAAGTTTTGAACATATTCAAATGAACATTTTTTATTTGAATAATAAATTTTCATTTGAATTTTGTTCGAATAATAAATTATAAAATAAATTAATAAATAATATAAAATAGCGAAATAAATAACTGCTTGCAATAAAAGTTTAAAATCTTAATTTTACATTCAAAAAACTTTATAATCATTTTTTTGGAGACGTGGCGCAAAATTATTGTAATCAAAATTTAATTTGAAGAATTAAATAATTTTCGTTTATTTGAATCAGGATCATATTTTTTCACTCTATAAAGAGAAAAAATTTCTTTTTTTGGAAAAGATTAAATTTTTTTCTAGCTAAACAGAATTTGTGACATTTCAAATTGACTGGATAAAAAAGTAGAATAAATAAGTTTTTTTATTAAAAAAATGAAAATAGTAGCAAATAAATTGAAAGGGAAGAAGAATATTTGTGTAACTGTTATATTCTGGTTAATTTGATTTCTACTGACGGATATTGAATAAAATAGCATGGATTAAATAGGTGTGATTTTAAACTGTATTGAATAAACCAAGAAGTTTAAATCCGCTGTATAAACGAATATTCAGTATTTCATTTTTCTAAAAGATTGTTTATCGATTTTTAATAAATGTCACATTGACAGTTTATTGATTCTGACATTTATTAAATATCTCTTTCTACACCGTGTTCATTCATGGTTTATTTTCGTTTTATTTTTTATTTTCAAAAATTTCTCTCAGAATTTTGCGACAATTTTTCTTTTTACTTTATTTGAAAATTTGTCTTTTTTTTAATGTTTTTTTTGTTTGCCTCATAAACTATAAAAATTACTACGAATTGAATACAAAACTTTAAACTTTTTCTAATTGTGACAATAATTTCTTTTTAAATAATTTAATTTTTCAAATTACAAGTTACAAATGATTCCAGAAATTCAATTATTTTCATAAGTTATAAAAATTCTTCGCAGAAATTCAATTATATTCAAAAATTTTAAAAAAATTCTCGTCAAAATTTCAATTATCTATATAAATATTAAAATGCTTCTTCAAAATTCAATTATTTTTAAAAATTTTAATAAAATTCTTGTCAAAATTTCTCAGGAATTCAATTGTTTAAAAAGATTTTTATAAAATTAATCGCAAGAATTCAATTATTTTTAAAAAATTTAACAAAGTTCTTTTCAGGAATTCAATTATTTTTATAAATAATAAAATTCTTCACCGAAATTCAATTATTTTTATAAACTTAAATAAAATTCGTTGCAAAATAATAAAATTCTTCTCCGAAATTCAATTATTTTAGAAAAATTTTAATAAAATTCTCGGGAATATTTTAATTATTTTCATAAATAATAAAACTCATCGCAGGATTTTAATTATTTTTTATTCAATTTTAATCGAATTCCTCGAAAAATGTAATTATTCTTAAAAATTTTATTAAAATTTGTCAAAAGAATTCAATTATTTAAAAATTTGATGATAAAATTCTTTACGAGAATTCAATTTTAACAAACATTCAATTATTCAATAAATTATTTATTTTTTAATTTAAATAATTGAATTCTTCTATAATTTTCTAATAAAAATTGATTTAAAAATTAATTACCGAAAATTCTAATTTAATTCTTTTCAGGAATTCTTTTCAATTTTTTCAAAATAATGGAGTTTCTTTAATAATTTTATTTTTGATGGAAAGTAATTGAATTTTATGAACAATTTCTTTCAAGTTTTTAAAATATTTGGGTTTCTTAATAATTCAAATTAAACATTTAATTATTCAATTTTATTAAAATTTTGTTGAAAATCACTGAATTTTTGCAAAGATTTTACTGTTTCAAAAAATAATTGAATTGTTTCAGAGGATTTATTAAAATTTTAGAAAATAATTGGATTCCTTCGAAGAATTTTATTATTTATGAAAATAATTGAATTCTTGCGAAGGATTTTATTAAAATTTTAAAAAAGTCCTAAATAAATTCTGTTAAGGAATTCCTTTCAATTTTTTCAAAATAATGGAGTTTCTTTAGTAATTTTATTTGAAAATTTTGAAAATAATTTAATTTTATGAACAATTTCTTTCAAGTTTTTAAAATATTTGGGTTTCTTAATAATTCAAATTAAACATTTAATTATTCAATTTTATTAAAATTTTGTTGAAAGTAACTGAATTTTTGCAAAGATTTTACTATTTTAAAAAATAATTGAATTGTTTCGAAAGGTTTATTAAAATATTAGAAAATAATTGAATTCTTTTAAGAAATTTGTATTAAAATTTTGTTGCTTTTAATTGAATTCTTGCAAAGAATTATGTCAAAAAATTTGAGAATAATTGAATTATTTCGAAGAATTTGATTTTTTATTTATGAAAACAATTGAATTCTTGCGAAGGATTTTATTAGGGTTTTTGTAAATAATTGACTTTTTTTGAAAAATTTTGTAATAATATTCTTATAAGTTGTTGATTTTCAAAAAGGTTTGAATTTAAATGTTTTAAAGAATTTTATTTCCTATGGAAAAATAATAATGATTAAATATTTATTTAAAAACGAAGTTATTGAAGTTTTCGAATAATTTTGCTTTTGAAGAAATTTGTAAATAAATGTAATAGAACATTTTTCTGAGTATTTAATAATTTTTAGAGTGAATCAGAATATTCTTTAGGGTCAGGGAACAAGTGAAAATTTTCTCTGGAAGTCAGAGAAAAGTCAGGGAAAAATAAAATTAAATATTTGTGGCAATTATTATTTTCTCGAAAGGAAAAATTCTCTCTGAACAATTATTAAAGAACAATTTTTTCATCCTTGAAATGTTTTAGATTTCTACTTCTGGAATTGAGAGAAGGCATTTGGCGGAATATAAATTGACGGTAGATTGATGTCTTTATAATATCTATTCTTGTGGATGTGTGAGAAGTTTATTATCACGTCTCGCGGTCTCTCTCTCTCTCTCTCGGCTTACCAAGTTGACAAATTCAGGATCCAATTGCTTGCTTGGAACCTTATATAAGTGTGAAGGTTGACACGTGGGGAATGTGTGTGCATATATGCGTAGGTAAACAACCTCAAAATGCACTTTAAGCTCTTCTTGGCTGCTGTTCGGTTATGTGTTACTGTCAGGTGGTTATAATGTGTTGCCATCCTAGGTGCATGTAAGGAATATCGTGTGTAGCAGCAGCCTATTGACCCGAGTTAGCAGATTAACGGTAATGGCTTGCCACCTAAGCCCCCGTACAATTAACATCCACAAACTATCATCATCATCATCATCTACTTCGTCGTTGTCATCTTCACTGTGCACTGAAAGCTATTTTTGTATATTTTGCAACTGAAAACAAAAATAAGGCCTTGGAGTTTTCTTCCTCTTGAAACTTGAATAGTTTATTTCTGTTGAAATTCGTCGAATTTGGCGAAAAATCGGATTTTCCCGAGACTCTAAAATTCTGGGCTCTTCTTGAAATGACTCGACCTGAAACGGAAAATAAAAGGTTGAGTGATTCCGAAATAATTGCAGGCTTTGCACTCGTCTACTAAAATTTACTACTTACTACTTTTTTACTATTTTTTTTTAGATTTGTACGACGAAAAGCTACTTTTTTCTTTTTTTGAAAATTCACGCTACTTTAAATTCACTAATAGTTGAAGAGAAAAAAAATTATTTTATTCAGAATAATCATAAATTCTGGAATCACATATTCACTTTGTTTTATTAATGTATTAAAAATTTTATTTGAATTTTATTATTAGAATCTGTAATTCAAATTTTACTGAATTAATTTAATCTAAATTTTGTCATTGAATTTTATGAACAATTTCTTTCAAGTTTTTAAAATATTGAATTTCTTAATAATTCAAATTGAACATTTCATTATTGAATTTTATTAAAATTTTGTTGAAAATAACTGAATTTTTGCAAATATTTTACTATTTAAAAAAGTAATTGAATTGTTTCGAAGAATTTATTAAAATATTTGTGTTTCTTAATAATTCAAATTAAACATTTAATTACTGAATTTTATTAAATTTTTGTTGAAAATAACTGAATTTTTGCAAAGATTTTACTATTTCAAAAAATAATTGAATTGTTTTGAAGGATTATTAAAATTTTATAAAATAATTGAATTCTTTCGTAAAATTTTAGAAAATCATTGAATTCTTTCGAGAAATTTTTATTAAAATTTTGTTGTTTTTAATTGAATTTTTGCAAAGAATTTTGTTCAAAAAATTTGAAAATAATTGATTGAAAAAATATCGTAATTTAATTCTTTTGAGGAATTTCTTTCAATTTTTTCAAAATAATAGAGTTTCTTTAATAATTTTATTTGAAAATTTTGAAAGTAATTAAATTTTATGAAAAATTTCTTTCAAGTTTTTAAATTAATCGTGTTTCTTAATAATTGAAATTGAACATTTAATTATTGAATTTTAATAAAATTTTGTTGAAAATAACTGAATTTTTGCAAAGATTTTACTATTTCAAAAAATAATTTAATTGTTTCGAAGGATTTATTAAAATTTTAGAAAATAATTGAATTCTTTCGAGAAATTTTTATTAAAATTTTGTTGATTTTAATTGAATTCTTCCGAAGAATGTTATTATTTACGAAAATAATTTAATTTTTGCAAAGAATTATATTGAAATTTTTGAAAATATAAACAATAATAATTAATTATGTACTTGATAAGTGAATTTTTTATATTTTGATTATAAAATTATTTAAAAATTTATATTTGTAAATAAAAAATTTTGTAATTTGCATAATAATAATAATAATAATAATAATAATAATAATAATAATGAACTGAATTTTTAATGAAAATTATTTAGAAATAGATTTTCTAAAATTTCACTTTAAAACCCTTTGAAATTCAATTATTTTTCGTAAGTAGGATTTTTAAGTAAAATGAAAGTAAAATTTTGAGTAAAATTTTGTTTTTAAGTAAAATATTTTAAGTATTTTTTGAGAAAATTTAAGTATTAAATTTTTTAAGTAAAATTATTCGTTAAATAATTTAAATGGTAAGAATTTTGCGATAGTTCTTCAATAAATAAATTATTTTCAGAAATAAAAAAATTTTAAGGATTTATATTCAAATTTGCCAACTTTGTCGAAATTTTTGAATAATTTAATTTAAAAACTGTGAAAAAAATTAGATTTTTAAACAATTATTTAATTAAAATTTTTCATATTCAAATTTGTCAACCCTGTCGAAATTTTGAATAATTTAATTTAGAAACTCTGAAAAAAATGAGATTTTTCAAAAATTATTTAATTAAAATTTTTCATATTCAAATGAATAAATAAATAAAATAAATATTTAAATTTGCCAATTCTGTCGAAATTTTGAATAATTTAATTTAGAAACTGAAAAAAATTAGATTTTGGAAAAATTATTTAATGAAATTTTTTTGAAAACAGTTCAATTTTCTCGAAAATAATTACAAATATTTTTTGATACTTTTTTTTCAATTAATTGACGAGTGCAAAGCCTGTAATTTGTAATTGAAACCAAAGTAGTACCATCAATTGAGAACTTTATGCAATATTCAAAGAAGCATGTTTTCCAAATGATGAATTCATTCGATTTGGCAAAAATATGATAATTTATTTAATATATCACAAGAGAATGTCAACATTCGTTCCCCGGTCGAATACGAACCTGAGGGTGGAAAAAAAGTCGAATTCCTCTTGAAAGCCCAGTTGATTTCAAATTCAGGTCAGCTAGAAAACCTATTTTTAAACTTTTTCCCTTCTTTTTTGTTGTCGAACTCTGTTTTATTAGGTCCTGTTTTGTTTTTCGTCTATTTGCGCCCCTCTGTAGCTATTATCTCGACTGCTGTATTTGAGTAATCGGATTTTGATCACTTGGCAAGGGTGACTTTTTTTTTCTTCTTTTCTATTCCTTTTGTGGTGAAGTTGATGATGATCCACATTTTCCAAGGGTGACGAACATCTTCTTGTTAATTCTCCAAAATTACTGTAAATGTTTAGAATCATTAATATCATTTAGGAAAATTTGTCAATTTTACTGTTCTCTTTTTTTTCTTTACTATTTTCATTTTATTTTAATTTTTTAATTTTTTTTATTTATACATCGGCGAAGCTCACGTTTGAAAAGAAAAAAATATTTTTCATGCTGAAAATAATAAAAAGTTTTGTTTACAAATTTTTTTGACAAAAAATCTATGCGAAACATTTTTTATAGAAAAATATATAAAAATTTAAATAGAGAAATATTTTCTCTTCTAAATCGTTGATTATAAACGTTGTGAACTTCACCAATATATTTTTATTGCAATATAAAAAAATTCGTTTCATAATTAAATTTATTATTTGCCATATTTTTAGTAGATAAATTTTTTATTTACAAAATTCAGAGTTTGAAATTCACAAAAATATTTATTTTCATTGAAAGAAAATTTTTTTTGTTTTGAATTTAATTATTTGTATTTAATCTAATATTTAAAAAGGGAATAAAAATTTAGTGTACCTACCGTAAAATTAAATAAAAGTAGAGAAAAAATATTTACTATTTTCATTAAAAAAAACTTTTTTCTTTTTGAATTAATATTACATTTAATCTAATATTTAAATAGAGGGTAAAAATTAACAGTAAATTTAAAATTTAAATAAAAGTGGAGAAAAAAATGTTTGATATTTTCATCAACAACATTCTTTCATTTTGTATTTGAATTTAATTAATTATATTTTATTCCACTATTTATAGAAAGGATAAAAATTATTTTTTATTTTATTATTCATTCCACTATTTAGAAAAAGAATAAAAATTTACAGTACTGTAAAGTTGAATAAAAGTAGAGAAAGAAATAGTTCATTAAAATTGCTTTGAATTGTTTTTGAATTTAATTAGTTATGTTTATTCTACTATTTGGAAAGAGAATAAAAATTCAGTGCACAGTGAAATTAAATAAAAGTAGAGAAGCTCTTTTTATGATTAATCAAGCCAAGGGGGAAAATGTGTCAATATAAAAGGGTCAGAATTGTTTGGACAAAGCCCTCCTTGACTATTTCTCTCGTCGAGTCGTCGTCGTCGACGTCGTCTCTGGTAATATCTCGGGAATAATTCATGATAAACTGTTTAAATGTCCTTCTGGGATTTTGAAGGCTATGCAGAAGATTATTCTTTTATATTATATAAATTTTCCTTCCTTCGAAGTGATAATATTTTTTTTCAAAGGCATTTAAAGAAATCTATTATCTCATTAGTTAGGGTTCGTTTCACTTGAAAAAAGTGTTTTTCGTGAAAAAAATGAGAGTTTAAAAGTTGGGAATAATTGGAAATTAAAATTATCGCTGTGAATTGTAAGGGAAAAAATTCACGCTCGATTTTTTCGATATTTTAAGGGGAAAAGTTTAAATATTGTGAACACAAAATTGAATGAACGATTTTTGGTTTGAGGAAAGTATCCATTAAAATTTCTTTAAGAGTTGCTTTCCTAGCTTTCGAAATCTGGGGCAAATTATTCGGTGTTGAAAAACGTTTGGCGTCTATTCAACGGGGATTTTTTTTTTTCTTCTTTTTTTTTTCTTTGCAATTATGCCGCCACATTATGCCGAGTTGAGATTTTCTTCACTGCTTCAATAAACGGATCGGAAGAGATTTATTCCAATATCGTTTTTTTTGCCTTTCTCACCTCATCGCCGGCAGTTATTTCTCTATTAGCTTAATTTACTTTTTGGATTTTGAAAAAAATAACAACACTAGATTTTATTTTTTTATTTTTTTTCTATTTTTATTTTTTACTGCAAATGTTTAGAATCAATACCTGTTAGCAAATTTTCCAATTTCTACTATTTTTTTTTTATTTTAATTTTGTATTATTTACCTATAATTAATTTAATTTAATTATTTCTTATTCTTATTTATTTTTATTTTTTATATTAATTTCTTATTTATATTTTTTATTTTAATTTTTATTTGTTATTTTTAATTTTATTCTTGATTTTCAATATTAGTTTTTATTTTTAATTTTCTTTTGGATTTTAAATTTTATTTTTACAATTTTTAATTTTTGTTCTGATTTTTAATTTTAGTTTTTTATTTTAATTTTAATTTTTAATTTTCTTTTTAATTTTCTTTTTGATTTTTAATTTTAGTTTTTTATTTTAATTTTAATTTTTAATTTTCTTTTTATTTTTAATTTTAATTTTTAATTTTCTTTTTGATTTTAATTTTTATTTAGGTAAATTTTAAATTTTATTTTTGATTTTAATTTTTGATTTTAATTTTTAATTTTATTTTTTAATTTAATTTTTGAGTTTTAATTTTTATTTTCATTTCTATTTTCAATTTTTGTTTATTTATTTTTACATTTCATTTTATTTGTTTTAGTACTTATTTATTATTTTTTTTTTTAAATAACGAGATTTCATTTATGCAAATTCATATAAATAAACGTTTCGAAGTTTTTATTTACCATCATTTTTGTTTGCTTATTGTTCACAATTTACCGAAATCGAATAATTTAATTTTCCTCGATTTGAAAACATTTCGTTTTTTCTATTTTTATTTTCCCTCTGACTGTACTTTCGTTTTTTTTCTCTCGCTTTTTTTTCATCCACGAATTTTCTGATAAAGATCGCTAGTGAAAATTTGTACTCCTTTGGGACAATATTCGATTAAATGCTGCTACGTTCCATTTCATTGAAAACGTGATAGAATCTATTTGAGGCGATCCTATGGTGAGAGAGTATTCTCTGTCTTGGAAAAATCGTATAGCGGACTTCTTTTTTTTCCCCATAATATAATGTACAATGGAATTTCGCAAGAAAGCGTGATAAGAAAATTTACTCGAGAATTTTTTTTCATCAAATTTCTGTGCTTTTTAACTGAGAAATATTTCCTAGAAAATAAATTCGTAAAATCTTAAATATGAAGAATTGAATAATTGATTATTTTTGGGAATTATTTTCTTGATTGGAAATTTTTTTTAATGGTAAAATAAGAATAGAATTTTATTTAGAGTTTTATTTGCGAAATAGAAGAAAAGGTATTTTTTTTAATACACTTTACAATCGGGAGATAAGAGATATATAGCGTTTTAACTAATCCTATTGTATTATCGTAAAATCTCCTCTGTTGTGAGTGTCAGTCAGTGTTCTTTCGTTTTCCCGTTGATTTACTCCGTGCCAATTGAATTTCTCATTTGTTTTCGTAAACAGATTATAAATGTGTTTCGATTTAAAAGGCGTCGTCGATGATTTTTTTACGCGAAAAACAATTTAACGATTTTGTTTACGATTTTTATTTTTATTTTCGTTTTCAAATTAATTGGTTATAATTTTTTTTTATTTATCTCTCAATTTTTGTATTTATTTTGTCTGTTTTTCTGGCAGTTTCTCTATTTGTAAATTTCATGTTTGGTCTTCTTATTTCATTACTTTTTTGTTTGTTAATTATTTTTTAGTTTCTCTATTTGTTAACTACTTTTTTTTCTTGTTGAATTATTTTTTTTATTTTTTGGTTTAATTACTTTTTTATTTTTGTTTAATTACTTTCTTATTTTTCTTTTTGTTTAATTACTTTTTTATTTTTTTTGTTTGCTAATTACTTTTTAGTTACTTTTTTCCATCGTGAAATTATTGTTTTTGTTTAGATACCAGAGTTAAAAAAATTCTTTTTGTTTAATTACTTTTTTATTTTTTTTTTGTTTGTTAATTACTTTTTTTCATTGTGAAATTATTGTTTTTGTTTAAATATAACAGAGTTAAAAAATTCTTTTTTGTTTTTAGATTTGAATGCCGTAGAAAAGGGGGAAAAATTGACTTGTTTTTGCTAATTAGCCGCATTAACAGTGGGAAAATGTGATGAAAAGCAGAGTCTTTTTTTTCGCTTGTGTAATTTTCAAGTGTCTGTGTCTCCGTCTTTCTCCGTGGAAAACGGGTTTATTAGACGAAAGAGTGTGTCTATATACACGACACGCAGGAACTTATGTCACCAAGCTTTCTGAATAGGGATGAATGGATGAATTGAATTTACGATGAGCATGGAATTGCGCGATATCATGTTTAGGGTGGCGTTAATGTACGCCTATCCAATGCTATGTCACGACCTGCTGGCTGCTTTCTTCCACAATAATGATAATAATATACAAGGTCTCTGAAAGTCAGGTATATTATTGAATAATAAAAATTTGTGGTTAGAGAAAAGTTCATCAAGAAAAAAAGAAGAAGAAGAGGAGGAGGAGAAAAAAAGAGTTGCCCTACTCTCTTCATCTTTTTTCGTCTTTCTAGAAAATTACTTCATTCACTTTGAAGCCACCGCGCGCGCGAGTACAGCTTAAGGCCGTTTATAGTTCACTGACTCGCTTTTCAGCGAATTAAACAATTAACATTTGACCAGAATTAGCGTAGAACTTGGCGAGTGAGTCTGAGCTGGAAAATTAAATTCAATAAACATTAAATAAGACTGAATTTATTATTTCGATGGGTCTTTATTAAAATACATTTCAAAAAATTAGTCATCACATCTATATTAATAATCGTTGTATTCTGGTAATTTGTTCACAGTTTGAAGTTCGTTGCTCTTTGCTTTTTCGTTTCTTAACTTTTTAAATAATTTTTCTTTTCAAATGTTTAAAATTTTTAAATTAAAGTACTGAAAATCATTGAATTCTTGTAAAGTATTTTAAAAAAATTTGAAAATAATTGAATTCGTTTCAAGAATTTTATCAATAGTGCGATTCCATGGGAGATTTTAGTTTTTTCGGAGTAAGTAAACCAATTGCAATGAAATTTTGGAATTTAAATCTACACATAAAAAGGCATATTTCCACCAAATATTACGTCAAAATATTCAGTAGTTTTTGAGATGTCAAAATTTTGGAAAAATTTTGAAATCGTTATATCTTCTTTTCATCTTAACCAAATCACTTAATTTTTTTTGGAGAAAATTCAGCATAAAAAAACGAAAAAGTTTTTTATATTATGTTTATACAAAATTTTTATAAACAAAAA